TACTTCCCAGTACTACTTTGTACTAAAAAGCTTGCACAAAGCACTTCCCAATACTACTTTGTACTACAAAGCTTGCACAAAGTACTTCCCAGTACTACTTTGTACTAAAAAGCTTGCACAAACTACTTCCCAGTACTACTTTGTACTTCGTATGTACTACAAAGCTTGCACAAAGTACGTCCCAGCACTACTTTGTACTACAAAGCTTGCACAAAGCACGTTCCAGTACTACTTTGTACTAAAAAGCTTGCACAAAATACTTTCCAGTACTACTTTGTACTACAAAGCTTGCACAAAGTCGTTCCCAGCACCACTTTGTACTACAAAGTTTGCACAAAGCACTTCCCAGTACTACTTTGTACTACTACAAAGCTTGCACAAAGCACTTCCCAGTACTACTTTGTACCACAAAGCGTTTACACACAGAACACTTACACTTACACACAGTGCTTTTACACATGGCAAGCGTTTACACACACAGAAACTTTTACGCAGAGACGCTTTTACACACAGAGAAGCTTTTACACACAGCAAGCTTTTACACACAAAATCTTTTACACACAGCAAGCTTTTACAGAAAAAAACTACACAGAGAAGCTTTCTTGTACATAATTACAACAGGAATTGCAGCTCCAAAACCGGATCTCGGTGCCAAAGCGAAAAAAAGACGATTTTGAAACACTTTTAAAAGGAATTTTAAAAGGAATATTGCTAGCGCAAAAACTGAGAAAATCTGCTGACAAATCACTGTCGCAGCCTTGATGCAGCCACTCCAATACGATTTGCGATCTCCAGCTGCAAACAGATAGTATTACGCATGCAGCCGCCGCGCCCAGCAACCTTGACGCAGCCATTCCAATGCGATCTGCAACCACAGATTCAAGAAACATATAGAACTACGCACATCGACACAACCACTCGTTGCAGAACACAGAGGAGGAACCCGCACCCGCAGCACGCACGAGGTACCTTTCATCGCCGGCTGCAACCACTTTACACGGAAAAATACAAGGTTTCGTGCTCCGGCTTCCTCCCCAAAACAAAGCCCAGGCAACACTCATGCAGCCATTACAATATACGTTTCGCAGCATCCCGTAGCAAACCTGCATCTCTCTACACGCATGGCAACACCAGATGACAACAATCATGCAGCCATCACAATGCGATCTGCAACCACAGATTCAAGAAACGCGCAGAACTACGCACACAGACACAACCACTCGTTCCAGAACACAGAGGAGGAACCAATCGCGTCCGGAACGACCGCAGACGCACCTGCCGCACACATGAGGTGCCTTTCACCGCCGGCCGCAGCCACTTTACACCGAAAAACTTAAAAGGTTTCTTGGTCCGGCTTCCTCCCCAAAACATAGCCCATGCAACATTCATGCAGCCATTCCAATGCGATCTGCAACCACAGCTTCAAGAAACACAGAGAACTATGCGCACAGGAACAACCACTCGTTGCAGAACACAGAGGAGGAACCAAAACGACCGCAGCCGCAACCGCCGCACACAGGAGGTACCTTTCATCCCCGGCCGAAGCCACTTTACACGGAAAAACGCACGGGTTCGTGCTGCGGCTTCCTCCCCAAACCCTAGGTCACCCCTGATGTAAAGTCTCACACCAAAGTCTAACACCACCCTTCACTGACTGTATTCTTATGTGATGTAAAGTCTCACACCAAAGTCTCACACCACCCTTCATTAAGTGTATTCTTATGTGAGGTAAAGTCTCACACCACCCTTCATTGAGTGTATTGTTACAGGTAAAAGTCACCCGTAACTCGGAAGATTGCTTCCCAATTTCCTTTGAATATATATATATAATATAATGTTTTTTAACATATATTAAAATATATTATATTATATTGTATTATATTATATTATATTATTAAATTAGATTAGATTAGATTAGATTAGTCCATTCCTAGACCCTCAAAGTATGCCTATAAAGATTACTGTATAAAGAATGAATACACATTATTGTTTACATTTTGTGTACTTTTACCAAAATTTGAAGGTATTTGGAGGGTCTGCCAACTCCGAGTTTGTCAAGAATCCGTGTCTGGATGTACTGCCATGGTTGTGACTGTTACAGTGTCATCACATCCCGTCTTTGTCGTCAAATTGTAATTCGATTGGTCCGCCAAGAATCAACTGGGGATATCTCATACACGATGATTGAAATAAACCATAAATTAAAAACATCTATCAAGAAAGCAGGGATTCCTCACCACTTGCCTGCCATCTGAGTGACGCCATGCCTGGCCACCAGCACAGCACTGAAGGGCAGGGACAAGCAGGGACAAGCAGGGACAATCATTGGAACAAGTCCAGCCCATGAGCCCATGGGCCCATGAGCCAGCAACAAGCATCAACACATGCACCAGCTGCCAATCAGTGAGAAGATTAGCAAGTCTTTCATCAGATGGTTGGTCAAATAACTGAGCAACCATCACACCACTTGACTTTCATCACGCAGCGCATCAAGCTGATCAAGCGATAGCTTGATAACCAACAACAAAGAAACGAGTCCACAGGAGACATCAACTGTGCCAAATCAAAGCTGGAAGAGCACACCATATTCGAAACCAACCACCGTCCCCCAATACATTGGCCTTGGAAGATTGTTCCAGTGTGATCTAGCCAACTTCTATCAATTATTATTATTATTATGTATCATATAGTGTATATAATTCAACATGAGTAGGTTTAGATACTTGTTCTTGACTATATATAGACAATTATCGACAGTTATAGACCAGAAATAAACAGTGTGTTCAAGCTATACGGCAGGGCATGGGTTTGTCTGAACATTGGGTATATATAATGGTGTATAATTACTCCTGAGTGACCATTTTAGATCATTTTAGTACGGGAAGATGATGATAAACTATCAACATTTGAGGTATCCTATTTTCAGCCAAACTCGCATACGCACATCATGTTATATCAACTTATAGGGGTGTACCTGCAGCACAAGGACCTCGAAATGGTTTGCGGTTAGCAAGGCATTTGAGGCGTTTCCCGGTGGTGGAAACAAGTGTCAACCGACTGTCAACCTCCGAAGAAAAACAGCAATAATCCCAGTTTTGGCAATGAAACAATGAAACATATAACAATACGTAACACATATATCATATAAAACTCCCATGCAAAGTTCAAAAACATTGTCCATTTCCTCAATGATCGAATCCTTTCTAGTTGAATCACAATCATTCACTGAAATAAGCTGAGGTCCTTGTGAGATCGCCAAAAAAATCAGCCAGATCACGTCTGTAGAACCATAATAAACCACTGTGCTAATTGGGGGTACCAATCTGCAGGGACAATGAAATCCATGAGGTCCGCGTCCATTTCTGGTCCGTATCCATGAAACTCACGCCTTCTCGGCCACTGGCCGCTTGTACCTTGGCGCGCAGAATCCCATCCTCCCATCCCATGCCACCCGCGCTGGGATGGGGTGGTTTAAATTCAGATGTTTTTACACAATTTTACACATGGCCTTGGTGTATCTTGGGGGAAACCTGTGCCATCTTGCGACAATTTGTTTTTGGGCTCAAAATGCTGCACACCAGGACAAACATATGAGGATTGAACATCAGTCATTAATATGTCCAGTATCTTGTATATTGGAATACAGCATACAGTATACTGTATATACATGGAATATGTTTTTTGTCACGTTTTATCATAGTACACTATGATATATTTGTACGAGTACTTGCTAATGAATTTTGACCATTTGAACATCCAAACTTCTCAACTCAACTATCAGGATCCGATTGGGGCTCCACACCGGTGAATGCCCGTGACCAGGCCTGGGTTTGAAAACTGCGTACCTCCCTCCAAAGACCCCAAAGAAATTGGTAAAAGTACTATGAATAAATTGTAAGGTAAAACCCCCATTTCTATGGCTACTTAGGGTGGCAAATTAAACCAATGTAAACACAATTAAACACATTTAAACACAATGTGGTGAACATGTGCGACATGATGATCAATTACAATGTATACGTATATTACCGTATATTATATAATACATTTATAACCAGTGGATTTATGGGTGCTCTAGCTTCAAACAAAACACACTGATATGTGTACATACCATGAAGCTTAGGCAATTCGTGATCTGCATAATATGTCCATGCTGGGCTATGTTTGCAGGAGCCATTCGGACACAGTTCAGGATGTCATGTTTCATCCTGTAAGGAAAAAACATCAAAGAATCTGACTGACCATAAGACACTGTGGGTTGGCCAAACAAGTAGGGTATGTTGGAAGAAGCGCAGTTTTTTTTCTCGATGAAAATAACATCCCGGAAAAGGGCCTTGCTTTATAATGTGTTTGGTTGTGAAAGTAAAGTGGGCAAATATTGTGCTGCAATATAATCGCAAATGTCTAATTGACGTGAACAGAACATTACGAGCGGATACTTGGTATTTAATACTCGCTTGCACCTATCTCCCAGCTCAAGCCACTGACCGCTGGCCTGAATCGCACCAAGCAGACAAAGCACTTGGGCGACCTGCCCAATCCATCCAAATCAAATCCTACCAAACAAAAACATATACATATGATTAGTGTTAGTAATATTACCTACATAGTTCACGGGAATAAATGCGTATGCAAATCTCATCATGCTCCGCATGTTTTGCATACTTCTGAGCACATCAGCAAACAACGGCTGCCGTCTTTTTCACGCGCAGGAACTTTCTTGTTGCGCGTTTGGGATACAGTATGGCTATGTATCAGAACTCTGGTAGCTTGATATTCACATCAAACTATCTGGTGCACATTGTTCTTAATCCCACCACCCACCGATGTTTGCTTCAAGCAATAGTATTTTACCATGTATGACCCATTCTGACCATAAACTGAATAGAGAATAGTATTTTACCATGTATGACCCATTCTGACCATAAACTGAATAGAGTATCACCATGTGTCACCGTTCATTTTGACAGCCGTATGGGGGTTTCCCCCGGTTCATGATATCACTCATCTTGAAAGTATTCGCGCTTCCCGTCGAAGTCTGGTCTCATGGTCTTGTCGCCGGGTTGCCAACCCGCAGGGCAGACCTCGTCAGGGTTTTCCTGAACGTATTGAATGGCATCCTTGGAAGGTTGACGTAGTGAATGGCGCCCCGCATCCAAAATCATCCAAAGAGACACAAAGAAAGTCAAGAATCCAGAAACCACTGGCTGATTTCACCCCATTTGATTGGTTGATAGATGTTGATAGACTTAAAAAGCGTCCATCCCTGGTGGGGGCAACATCATTGCAAGAGCCCCAAAAGAATAAAACATAATCAAACAGGTCTCCCAAGATTATCAGGGGATTCAGACTATCAATGAGGAAAATCAAACACAAACAAAACCAGCGAGACTCAGAAAATACAAGAAAAACATAATTTAAATAATGAGAGATACAATTGAAATCGTCCAAATATTTATTCCAAGCATCTAAGACTCGAAGCACTTCATCCACATTTCGCCCAAAGGCCATGTTGTTCACGGTGGCATGCTGCACCACTCCCTCCTTGTCGATGATGAACAAGGCACGATATGCCACTCCATCAGGACTGAGGATGCCGTAGGACTTGGCTAACTCCCGATGAAAGTCGGAAATCAGGGGATATTCCAAGCCCCCAAGGCCACCCTCGTCACGGGACATCTGAATCCAGGCCAGATGCGAAAACTCGCTATCCACTGAAACTCCTAAGACCTGGGTATTCCGGGACTTAAACTCCTCAAATCGATCCGAAAAGGCGATAATCTCGGTGGGACACACAAAGGTGAAATCCAATGGGTAGAAAAAGAGCACAGTATAGCCACCGTTGGCGAATTCTCGAAGGCTCATGCTTTCAATGTCTTCATCAACGATTGCTTTAAATTTGCTGTTGCCATGGTAAAGGGGTGCTTCATTCCCAACTAACGTGGCCGAACGGGCCGTTTGGCCAAGGCGACACCTGGCGTGTCGGGTTGGACTCGATGGACGACTCTGGGAGCCGGTGAAGTCTCCGCGAGGTGACCAAAGGGCCACAAAGTTTCGTTCGAGACAAACACCTAAACAAAGGCCCAGCAGTAGCATTGGAATTGCCCGAAGGCGTTCTCGCACCATGGTCATGTTCAAAAAAAGAGATGCGCAGCTAGTTTCTAGCGTGCGGCCGATTCTGAGCCAGAATGCGGTCGCAATTTGTTTCAAATCACATCACGTGGTAAGATGAAGCTCATCAAGGTGGACCAAGCTTGTTTCACCCTGGAGTCTCAAAACATGGACAAAAATCTAGTTTAAATTTCAAATCACCCTACATTTTGATAGACATCCCTGAAAATTCCCCCCTCTTCGGACACACCCAGGAGATAATGGAGATAACCAGATCCCCCACCGCTGCTGCGGTTCTGCCTGCACTCTGGGTGGCCATGCCTGTGAACTTCACCATTTTACATCCATGTCTCTGGGTAAATTAGGATTAACTGAGCTGAAAGTAAGGCCATTTTGGATCATTTTGGGATCATTCCCAGAAGAATAGTGCATGCGTGATCATGCGTGATAATCTATCCAGATTTATTATTGCAAGATCTGCAAGCAGTATTGTGTTGTTTCTGCCAGCTCAATACCTGGTGATGTTCCATGATTTTTCCATGGCCATGGCATGGACGAGGCCGAGGCCTTTCTTTTTGGCACTCGATGATCTCGATGATACTCCGCCATGCGCGCTGGCTGGATGTTCATGGGCTGGCTTTTTGCTGGATTAAGTCGACAGTACGCTGGGGACAACTCACTATAAACCTTTAATGATCTTTAAAGGGTGATTATCCATTCTGGGAATATTTTTGTATCTGGGTGAACTACAACAATTTATTGACATGTGAATGAAAGACAATGAAATTGAGACCCCCAAACCCACACACTGGTTGGTTACAGTTGGTCAGAGTTATTCTTAAACCCTCCAATATGCACATTCAGGGCCATGTCATGTGTATCTGACTGGTCTGTTCACTAGCTGAGACTCGTCCTAGTCCAGAAGCTTAAGCGTGCAAGTCAATGTCTGATGCCAGAGCATTACCAAACAGGTCAGAACACTTCCATGTTCTACACACAGGACATTCCAGCATATTTCTGTAGGAACATAGTAGAGACTGACAGAGAGACATATGCCGGTTCTTCACAAGCTCTGAAATTTTAGTTGCTTCACTGTTCATGCAGTTGATGGTTGATGGTTGATGCATGTCTCGCTGCATGGCCCTTTTCTGTCCTCCACTTGTGGGATCCAGGCGCGAGTTACCCGGAGAGCTCCGTGATCTGCCAAGATTGTGTTGCTATCATTCATGATATATTTAGAGAAAAATCCTGAACGACTTTGAGGCTTACATGAGGCTTACGTTTGATACCTGGGCAACTACTATTGACATGAATCATTAAATATATTAAATAATTTAGATTTAATTGGAGGATTCGGAACTGTCTGTGTCACTCTGTTGTTTTTTTGTATTTCACTGGTCTCACCACCATTTCTTCATTTCACTTAAATACTCAGCGCTATCAAGATCTTTGGGTCCCATCGAATGAGCTATGGGGGTCCACACTTCATCAGCACTTCCCTGGAGACATGGCCATCTTCCGGATGGCTTTTTCTGAAAATTGGGTACCCCTAAATCCTCATGGCCTCATGGTTTATCATTATATGTTCCCCATTATAGAACAGCAATTGTTGGGGTATCCCCTATTTTCAGACAGACCCAAAAAAAGGTCTGACCTCTCACCGTTCCTCACTCTTTGCAGCTTCCTGCTGCTGCTGAAGCATATACCTGCGCCGCGACTGCCATGGCAGGACGCATTGGGGGTGCATCTGAAAATGGGGTATACCCCTAGGTGGTATTTTAAAATGTTTAGTAGGGAACAGATTATAATCCAATGGATTTGGGGGTTTACTATGGTATACTATTTTCTGACAAACCCAGATTTACTACAGTATAGGTCAACAGGGCAAGCCAAACAACGTTGTCCTCCGCCAAAAAAAAATTATTGTCTTCCTCTCTTTACCCACACTTGAGTAGCTCTCAAGGCCGACGTTGACCCTGGTCAGCATTTGCAATCCCGTGGTGTTAGCAAGGCACATTTTTTGCTGCATGGTGATCTGCAACTGCTCCAAGCTCTTCTTCTTGTCCTTGAGAACCTGATGACATCAGTTTATCACTTTCATCACATAGTCTACAATGGTGGATTTACATGGTTTTACCATGATCTACCTATATACATTTCGCACAAACTTCACCAGGTCAAACGATACGAACATCCAAACGAACACATACGATTTCGCACTACATCAGCACTGACGTCTATGGACGTCTCATGGGTGACTCAGCTCATTGAGAGGTGCGACGCTAGGCCGCTAGGCTCCGGACACCTTCAACTTTGGAGGCGTTGTCTGAAAGCAACTTACATCTCCTGGGACATAACCCATAGGATCCATGTATGGTATATATGCTAACATTTGGGGTATATTGATGGTAAATGTTACCATATATAGCAGCACCATGGATCCTATGGGTAATGGGACTACGGTGCAGTCGGGGTGATAAACAATGGTTGCAACATGTTATGGCCCAGTAAAAAAAATATATTACCATCTGGTTATTTAACATAGCCATGGAAAATCACCATGTTTAATAGGTAAACCATCTAAAAATGGGCCATTTTCCATGGCTATGTTAAATAAGCAGAGGGCAACCCTTGCAACTATATGTATCAACTTGTAGCTGGAGATGCAGAACGATGCCAACTTAAAGAGCCAATTCCATAGCCACTCTTAGATATATCACCATGAACAATAAAGAACAAAAGGACTAAAGTACCCTTCCAACCGAATCGTTGGCCGACTGAAAATGGGGTGGCCTCAATTCCATGGATCTTCATCAATGTCTACATGGAGCTTAACCAAGCTTTGGACAAGCCCAGTGATTTGTCTCACAGGAGGTCACTGGTCATTTTCGCCACCATGGAGCCATCAGCAATGCATAGCCAACAAGTAGCCAACATTCGTATCATGCAAGTCATGTCCCATGAATGATATGAATGGTGTTTTCCATTGCTACCCATATTTATCATATTTCATCTTTGTCACTTGCCTCAAGTCATCAAGCAGCAAGCAGCGAAGCATCAGCCGTCGCTGTCCTGCTGCAAAACTTGTGGGCTCGTTCCACAGACATCTCGATGTAGTATCCCGTGCCCACATCGACCGTCACCTTCTTCCTGAGCGACGAATATCAATCTGTTGCCGTAGAAACCATTGCGAAGGTCAACATGTTGTTGTCTCCAAAGCCTGGTGATGTTTCGAGTAAATGGGTAGGCAACATATAACATGTTAATGATTATAAATGTATGATGTATCAAGTAATCATAGATGATCTGGGATATCAAGTGATTGGATAGGAACATTTCCATGAATTTGAGCTGCTGATCGTCTAGGCCCAGGACGTTTCAGTCATGTGGCCGTCGATGTACAGGGAAGACGTGAGCGGAATCTCAGCATATCAAACAAGCTAAATCAGGTGCAAAGCCACTTTGAATCGCTTGGATCCCAGGTTTGTTCAATGGGAAAAACAATGCCAGAAATTCGAGTAGCACAAACATGTAGAAACAAATCTGCTGCAAAATCAACCGACTTTTCACTCAAACATTTATAGTTTGTTCCGATTTCCCTGGGTTTCTCATGGTTTCTCTAGGTCCCGTGCCAGCATGGCCTTCCCATTGTTCTCAGGGCATAAGGACTTCAGGCTCTCAATGGAAGCCTGGAATCGCGCCTGCTGCGATGTTCGCGGCGCGTGGTGAATGTGGTGATCATCACGACACCAGCCTCGTTCCACCAGTATCCACGACTAATTAATTGAGGATTCAATTACCATTGCATGGATAACTATGAGAATGTGTATATATATATATATAGTTATATATATATATATATATTATATATATATGGGAATGTAATAATTAAATACAATAGGCATAAAACTGAGTAACAATAGATATTCTGGTGTGTCTGAAAATGTGGTATACCCACAACTTGAGGCCGTTTTGAAGGGGATGATGAAGAAAAACGGACGAACATGTGGGTCACCCCATGTTCAAACCCAGAAATTCATTTACCCCTCTGGAAATCTGACCTGGCAAGTCCGCTATCATCAGTTTTCTCCGCGATCTTCCTCTATTTTCCTCCGGGAATCGGGGGTTCCCCTGGTTCCCCTCCACAGAAATCGGCCTTGCCTCAGCTTCTCTTAGAGCGGCTTGATTGTTCAACTCAGGCGCCCCAGGGATGGTTTACCCATATAGGATCCATGGTGCTGCTAGAAATATGGTGTGCCATGGATCCCATCAATATACCCCAGTCATGTTAGCATATATACCAGCACCATGGATCCGTCATGGGTTATGATTCAGTCTGATGGTGTACCACGCTTCAAATAAAAAACACTTCCGCCAAGCGGCGCTTAGCGGTCCACATCTGAGATCCCACGCCAAACTTCGGACCTCCTGCTCCAGCTGTTGCTTCACAGCATTCAGCTGCTGCAGAGAGGCTTGTGACAAAGGGATGCCCCCTTCTTCCGCCTGCTCAGCCTTAGAACGAAGGTGAACAAAAAACACACAAAAAAAGCCCCCAGACTCCATGTATTAATATTTATACTGGCCTTGATATTTTGAATTGAAATGATTCTTAATGGACTTTTTTGAACGGTTGAACTAGTTTTTTTTAACCAAATCATTTTTCCCCATAGATCTTTAACATTAAATGTTAGGGCTGTTAGGGAACAACATATTCACCCTCGGGAAAATTATGGAACATGGATAATAAAACATGGGACAGCAGTAAAAAAACTGCTATGGTTAACAGCTATGGGTAAACAACTATGAGAACAAAACCATTATCTTGGAAAATAACTACTATTGGTACAGCTATGGTTAAACAGCTATAGTAGATTGGGGCTATGTTTTCCAATAGCTGTTCCCAAGGTTTGTCACTGTCCCTTGGACACAAGCGGCAATGGAGACCTGAGGCCCAAGCGGCACTGGCGTCCGCCATGGCACCAGCTTTTTGGGGACTTGGGATGGAATCAGCTGCAAACATTGGCTGTGGAAGTGACCCAGTTGTTTGTATATATATAAAACACGTATAGCAGAAAATACTTACTGTAGATATATATATATATATATTTGTATATATATATAATGTATTATATGTATGATATATGTACATATATAATTTATTAGATATACCAGTATCATTCACATATATATATATAGATAGATAATGTATTATATATATATATATATCATATTATATGTATGATATAATACAGTATATTATCTAGTTATACCATGTTATATCACCTCGCCCCAAGCATGTTGAGCCATCCACAATGGGGAATGAGAAACCATGGATCAACCAGGGTGGCCAACAGAATCTTCCAGGCTACCCTCCCGCAATGTGGCTTGCTGGAAGTTTCACACCATTTACAAATGATTGTCCCAGCCATAAACCTCCGTTTGTATATATATATATGTATATATTAATTATATATACATAGCTGGTTGGTGGTTTCAACCCCTCTGAAAAATATGAAAGTCAGTTGGGATGACTATTCCCAATATATGGAAAATAAAATTCATGTTCCAAACCACCAACCAGTATATGCATATATATATACACATAGGGTATTTCATTACCGGAGTGTATCCCAAAAACTTCCCACAAAATGACGCGGTTCATGGCTTGGATCAAAAGAAAACCGACGTGGCTTCTCAACAAGTTTGGCTTGTCACGTTGAAGCGTGGCAGTTTCCCAATGAACAAACATAACTGATTGGTAAATGACTTGCCAAACGATGTTAGTGACAATTTTTCAGAAACCCACAACTGATGCTTCATGTTCAAAAGAAATGGACGTGTTTAGGACCGCAAGGTTTGAGGCTTGAGGCAGGCCTTTTTCGATTCGTGAAGCGCCGATTTTTTGGTATTGGAGTGCACCATCTGCGAAAACGCAAATAGCCTGGTGCCCAGCATTTCTCAGTGTACCTTCGAGAGTAATCTAAGCTTGCGGAGGAAGAAAATCACCTTTAAATAGTGGAACATGATTCCATGAGTTATCTTCTATTTACAGGTCTGACTTCTGGAGGATAAGTTCCTACTATATAACTCTCTATATAATATATATATATATGTATGATATAAGATGATATAAGATGTTTGGAGGCTTTCTAATGTACTATGAAACCTGACCTCAGCTGCAACATGGCATCGTAGGTCGCTGAGCTGCACAAAATGGGATAGTGTTGGAAAACCATGCTGCATCAACTACACCATCATAATTGTTGAATATCACTAAAATCGAATAGTATTGTTGGATCATATAGTAATTTGCTAAATCAAGTACCATACTTGGTGACTATATATATATATATAAATTACATGTATCTTACGATCTAATTACTGATCTTCATTGAGAAGCCTCAGTAGTAATTCGCTCAAACCCTAGCAACTAGTCGTATGCCAACATTTGCAACTGTATACGATGCGTCAACTGCCACTGTTGTAACGATGCTTTCAAGGGCAAGGTGATGCTGTACATAGCGAAGAGCATGAGCGGAGCGGAAGAATGGGGCAGATCTCTGGACAATTCTATAGTCCCTCCTCAATTTACCCGTTGATATTGTTTTCTTTTTTCTTTACTCCCCGGCTGGGTGGGTACTTTTTTATAAATCCCATTTGTATGGGAATGTGATCTAGGAAAATCCCTGGAAAAAAACATGAATCTTGCCACTGCTCCACCATGCTCCTCTACTGTACCCTGGTGCCCACTGGCCAGGCTGGTTCCGGCCTCACGAAACCATATCCTGGCGCTTTGATTTTTCTGGCAGGTCATGTGGGGTTTCCCCCCAACTTCTGGACAGAGTTGAATGAAAACAAAAGGGAAGAAACCACTCTGAAACACGGAAACACGCAATTTATGTGCATGTCCTTGAGGCTCGGCATCCCACATATGGTTGATCAATGTTGAACAATGTTGAACATATCACGACTATTCAAAGCCACCAGTGAGAAAATAGCGAGAGTCAACTAAGCAATTTTTGGGATTTACTATGATTTACTGCAAGACAAATGCTGCCACATATCGCTGGCATCTATGCCATAATCCCAAGGGATTAATGACTAATAGGCATCCCGGTATCATGGACAAGTCCAAGATAGCCATCAAGAAGCAATGAACAGTTGAGTGTATTTGGGTTTGTCCGAAAAAAAGGGTATCCAAATAGTTAATGTTGAATCATCATCTTCCCATTTTTTCCTATTTAAGATCATTATTTAAGATGCCATACCGTGGATGGAAGAAATCCTGCACCAGCTGATAGGTGGTTTATCCCATTATTTATAGGGTTTCAACCATCCAAGGTGATGCAGGATTTCTATCATCCACAGTATTTTCTCGGGGTATCCCCATTTTCAGTCATATACAGTCACCCCAAAAATATGGAAATAAGTGTTGTCAGGGTGCCAAACAAATGATAGTTACCACATATTTCTATAGGTTTCCCGTTTCCGAGTTTCCATCTATCCGTGGCTTGCGAAAAATCCTGTGACAACCTCCAATTACTTACTTGTGCTAAACGTAGGGAATGCGGGAATGATCCACAAGAACTATCAATAATCATCCCAGCAACCCCCATTCCCATCCATTCCCTACGAAGCACCAGTAAGAAATGCCATTGCTGGGAACCTCTCGGCCTCATCGGCAGTGTCCGCCATAAAATCAGCAGCTCGGCTCATGCCCAAATCCTCCTGGTGCGGTGTTCAGAACCTGTAATTTCTTCGGGGATATAAATGGATGCATAATGGGAATATGATGGGAAATCATGGCTTCAATTGGCATATATATAAATATATATATATATATATTATGTATATTAGGAAACTATATCATCTTATATATGGGAGATATGTATGGCTTTACTAAACCTGTCATTCCATTGTAGTGGCTGGTTGGGAACAGGATTCCCATAATGGTGTGATCCCCACCATGCTACCGGATGGTGACGCTTATGTGTTCAAAATGTCCTGACCCTGTTGCTTCCTCTTTTTGCAAAGTTTTGGCATAAGCGGATTATGATAAAATCCAGCCGAATCTTTCCATATTCTGATCATCCATATGATATATTCCACAGTTTATGCATATTATTCCATAGTTATCCATATTATTCCATATTTATCTTCGGATCATTCCGTAAAAAGTAAGATCTGATTCCCCGCACTGCTGTGCGTCCAAAAAGGGGCTCCGCGATCCAGTCTGGCCTGGAGAAACCGTATCATAACATATATACATATACTATATATATATACATTATACTTATACTATATATTATATAATATACTATATATATATTATAATTATACTAGATATATATATATATATATTATACTATATTATAGTAAAACAAATATCCACGGTTTCGCCAATACAAACTGTTTGAGATTGTCAAGATCACTTCATCGCAGGGAGTCAGATCACCACTTGCCACCCCAATGTTAGAAGGGGATTGACATCACATCAACATGACCGATCTGTTCGCAGGGATTCGCGCTTAGATGCGCGAAGGTATAATACTACATATCGCCCATGCATAACAACATATTAAAGTATTGCTAAAGTATTGCACCCTGTATAGCCAACACTACGGAACTCCGAACATAGGGGTTGGAACATGATTTTCTCATCGGATATGGCCATCAATACAACTTATATTATATTGTATTCGGGATGGGTAAAGTACCCATTCAGCCAGTTGACACAGCAACCAATGACCAGTGAATTGCATGGCCGCCGCCTCTGGCAATGCTTCCAGCAAGCCATCCTTGTTCCGCACCAGCAGCGGTGATTCACCTGTAGGTGAACGTTCTCACTGGTCAAGAGTCATAGTAAGCCCCAAAAAGATAGAACAGGTTCACTTCGCAACTATTCTAACAATAAAAAGTATTAAAAAAAACAAACGTCCTATCTTTTTGAGGGTTGCTAAAAAATAGCCTACGAACATTGTTCAAAAGAACAAGGAAACCACATCAAGATGGGTTTGTCCAGCAATAATATCAATACTAGTATTGGTATCATCTACCCCGAAGTCAGTTCATCATCACTTTATTCACTCTAGTGAAACTCACCATCAATAAAAATATCTAATACTTAACATGTTGTTCAACAATAATAGTTCACTACCGCAGCATAGTTTATAAATATTTATAAATGTTGCAGTAATAGTCAAGTCACCATGAACAGCAAATCCTCTTCAGACCTGCCTGGCCTACTTTCAAGGTGTTCTCTGAAGGCTCTCCGCCGCTGACCTGTCCGCTCCTCTTGAGGACTGCACCAATTGGTTGGTGAAATATTGGTCAAATGGGAACGGGGATCCAGTCAGGCCAGTCAGTTCTTCATGTTTGAATATTTACATCATCCCAAAGTCAAATGAGAATCATCATAGTTAACCACTTATAACTATAAACCATAGTTAAGTTATATCTATCATAAACCATAGCTGAATCATCAGCAACTCCCGCGATTTGACTCCGGGCCGTTTTTTTGCGCCAACGACGAGGCCGGAGATCGCAAGGATGACAAGACAACCATCCAATCACGGTGATGCAAACGTATATAATACAGTAATGGAACAATGGAACAATGGAACAATGGAACAACATGCACACACACAATCAAACAATGCAAAGGTTGAACGATCCTGAAAGTCAAGTATGACTGTAGTGTGACTCATATTCAGAAGCATCAAATCTAAGGATCTTGTTCAGTAACACATGCAAGATCATTCTATAGCAAGGTCACAGTATGCTCAAGATGAAGAATTCGCCGGTATCCAGCCTGTTGGTATCCATCAGTGGTCAAGCGAGTAACATTCTCGCCTGAGACAGTTGTGTCCCACTGGGGACCGATTTGATCAACTTGGGCCATCCAAATGTGGCAGTTTCATCGTTTCATCGCAGCCTTGTTGAGCAAGTTGTTCAACATCCCAAATACCAACGTCCAGCAAACCTTGGCAAAAAGCCGGAGATCAACAAACAGCCAGGCTTGAGAAACACCATATCCT